GGCCCTTAGGGTTAGACTCGTTACACATTAGCCGCACTTTGCACACTTACCCTGAAAGCCTGAACCCTAAACCCAAATCTAAGGTTGAAACCATGGGCCCCTAGTATGGGCCCTTAACCCTGGGATCCTTGTACACTACTACAAACCCTAAACCCTAAACCCAAAACCCTAAACCCTAAACCGACCCTATATGTACCCTTAAGGGTCCCTAGAAAAGCCTAAGGGTCTATATCTGGGGCCCATACTTCCAACCTTAGAACAGCACAACCGTCCCAAGCTAAAGAGTTCAGGGCTCCGGGCTTCGCACGGTTTAGGGTTTAGGGTTTAGGGTTTAGCTTACTTTTCAGGATTTCATGGTGGACCCCAAAATATTGCAACATGGGAGACAGATGATTCGTGCTTCTATTCCCTATGCTTTACCTTCAGAGCATGAGAAGGATGATGTTCCAACTTGCTGGCTTCTGCTTTGCAGTGCTTTTCACGCCCTTCTATAACAGCCATACTTGACTCTTCTGTAGAGGCCTAGATAATTACTCATACTCTTTTGGGGGGCTCCTTTCTATGGGTACAGTATAGTATGCCAGAAACCGTTATTCTAGTTATCAATACTCCTGTATTGCTATGCAGAGGCTTTGACAGAGCTTTAGAAGATTAAAGCAGGTCCTTTGAAACCTTTAAGATCCAAACCCAAACCCTGAGCTTCGGGTTTGGGGTTTAGGGGGCTTTAGGATCCCTAAACCCTAAACCCTAAACCCTAAACCCTAAACCCTAAACCGAGGTTCTTTTTAAGAGGCTTCCCGGCTTCCATCCAGAACTTCAGAACTGAGGCAAGGCTCTTAAGGAACTCACAGCAAGGTGTCTTTCGAGTCCCGGCTGCCTTTCTAGGTGGGTAGTTGTCAAAATTATGGTTCCTTTTGGGTACCCTAAATAGTAGGCGCCGTATTATAATAAGGACCCAAAACGGGACCATGATTTTGACAACCACCCAGGTAGGGAGCGTGAGGGTTTGGGGTTTAGGGTTCGTTTCAATAAGAGTAACGGGAATCTGGTGCTAAGATATAAGAGAGCACATAATCTCACAAAGATGGGTTTAGGGGTTTAGGGTTTGGGGTTTGGAGGTTTACGGTTTCGGGTTGGGGCTTAGGGGTTTAGGGGTTTAGGGGTTTAGCTGTTTAGGGATTTAGGGATTTAGGGTTTAGGATTTGGTGGTTAGGGGCTTAGGGGTTTAGGGTTGAGGGCTGCGGATGTTTGAGTTTGCGTGGGCCCTGGAATGCAGCACTTTTTGCCTGGATGAGAATCATAATGCACTCAACAAGAGACACTACAACTTACTCCAAACCCCAAAACCCTAAGAATCTGGGGAGGGGTCCAAAAGCACGAGCGCTCCCTCCTGCGCTGCGATCTCTGCGAATCCGACCTGCGTGAGGGGCACGACGTCCTGGCTGCGACACCCCAAACCCTAAACCCTAAACCCTAAACCCTCGCTTCCGGGAGCCGGCAACCCCGTAGGATCCCTCGGACCCCGCTTCCGACAGATTCAAAGTTTGGGGTTTTAGGGTTTGGGGTTCAGGGTTTGGGGTTTAGGGTTTGGGGTTTAGGGGTTAAGGCCTTGTTAGGGTTCAGCTGCTAGGACAGTCCCTTCTGAAACTTTAAACCCCGAAGCCCAAACCAGGCCCCAAACC